TTGCTCACGTGAGGTTTGGCACACAGTGGATTTGGCCCATTACAGCAAATGGATAAGTGGCTTTTGTCCTGCATTTGGTGCTCAAACTCATATAAATGTTGTGATGCCCATACAATTTGTTTCTATCATACAGACTTTTTTTTGCCATTGCCATTTGATACGTTTTATTTGGGGGGGGCTTTCTCCAACATATCCTTTGGGAATTGCCCTTAGCATCATCTGTTCCTTTTCCATCTTGTCAGCATCTTGTTCCTAATAAATGAATGTCAGCATCCCTAAAGTTGTTCAACCTTTTCACCTATCACTGGGTTTTCAGCTATGGATTGTAAAAATAAAAAGTTATGTGGATATATTTTCTAATTTATTCCCTAATTTTTAAAATGAGAATAAGAGCTGGCATTTTTACCAAGCATTTTTATTGAACTTTCTGCACTGCCAAATAAGAGTGGCAATAGGGTTGGATTGGGAATATACTGCACAAATTCCTGCCTCCTTGTGTTACTGAAGACATAAATCTTCCTAATGGGAGCAAGGAGCATAAGACCTGGCTGGCCTTCAATGACAGAGAAAGACATTTGAGATGCACTGCAAAAAGAAAAAAGAAAGAAAGATTTGTTCCTCTTCATATTTCAAATCTCTGACTTCTTTGTGCAGACTGTTGGCACTCCAGAAATCTGAATGGCCATGTTCTTTGATTGGTAATTTCTCTATAGAATTTTTAAAAAGTTGATCATTTTCTAAAAAATAAATACTACAAGATACTAAAAATGTATTAATTTTCAATATGTCAAATCCAAAATCCAGAACTTGATGTACAGCAAGATCTGTCTCAAAATCCTGATAAAACTTCTAGTAAGATGAAAGCAAGGTAAATTGTACATTTAACCTGATTCTTTGCTCCAAAGTGATTTATAAGTACTTATTTCAGTTTCTCTTCTGTTTTTTATAAGTTTCTGTGCCAAAGGAAAATTTTTGATCAAAGCGTTTTATTAATGTTGAAGATCATACTACTGTAGATAACTGGTTATATTAGGTATTACGAGGGTGGGATTCAAAAATTTTAACAACCGGCTCTGTGGGCGTGGCTTAGGTGGTGGACATGGCTTGGTGGTCATGTTATTGACTGGCCAACTCAATATCACATGGCACGCATCTCCTTGCCTGGCCTCTTATGACTGTGGGGATGCTGCAACAGTCGTAAGTGTGAAAAATGGTCATAAGTCACTTTTTTCAGTGCCATTGTAACTTTAAATGGTCACTCCACATAAGCAAAGTACAAGCAAAGGAGGGGAAAAAAATTCCAGAGAAGTTCCTGAGACAGGAAGTCTAGTCCTGCCAAGAATGTAATAGGGTTTAACGGAAAGGCAGTTTCTGTAAGCAACACCAGAATGTTTCCTTTCTGCCTTCCTTACAGGATTAGGCCAGTCATTTCTTCTAACAACCAGTTCTCCGAACTGCTTAGAAAGTTAACAACTGGTTCTAGCGAATAGGTGCGAACTGGTAAAATCCCACCCCTGCTTTAACTGTTTCATTTAGTGCTGTAACTGTTTCATATAGCTGTATCAGGACAGATTGATCTGTAGATTAATATAAGAACAATTTTAGGCTTGATACTGTACTGCCATTCTATTCACTATGAACTACTAGTTCTTTTTTTGATTGAGTTCATTGCCTTGTGTGTGTTTAAACTATTGATGTTTCCATTCCAGAGAAAAGCTGTGATGGTAATACAGATATTTTATGAGAAGCTATTCTCTCTTCATTTACTAATTTTAGTTTCAGAAGAACTGTCTTTGGTAACAAAAGCTGCCGTTTATTGACCTAAACAGCTCAATTCACTGTCTCTTCCTAATGTATAATGTGACAGCCTTCAACCAGTCTGTAAAGGCCCTCTATCGCTCTTGCAGCCTCTCTCAAGGCTTCAACTTTCTAAATTATGTATTTCAGACGTTGAGAAAGAAAGGACTTAATGGCTGTGACAGTCCAGATCCCGATGCAGATGATTCAGTAGGTCACAGCCCTGAGTCTGAGGACAAGTACAGGAAAATTAATGAAGATATTGATCTAATGATCAGCAGGCAAAGATTATGTGTAAGTACTCTGAATTCCTTTCATTTTTTTTTTACTTTCTGATATTTCTCTGAACCTGGCAGGCATTGAACAAGAAAGAAAACAAAGGCTGTGAAAGCCCTGATCCAGACTCCTCTTATGCCCTCACCCCACGCACTGAGGAAAAATATAAAAAAATTAATGAAGAGTTTGATAATATGATCAAGAGCCATAAAATTCCTGTAAGTACCAAAGGTTAGATGGCTGTCTGCTGATAACCACTGCAGTAACACACCCTAACCCTTTCAGTTCTGGTTTCTTCCAAAAAAAGCATATTCAGTGAGGGACGTATTTTGACAGCACCCATTAAAATCAATTTGCAGAGAGGAAATAGGACCCAATTATCTTTTTTTATTCTTTTTTTTCACTCTTGAAGTGTGGAAAGTTCCTTCATGACATGTGTTTGACAAAACCTAAAGAAGGAAGTTTTTGAAAGTGGACGTTATGTATAGTAAATTTACAGAATTCTGGTTTACCACACCAAGCTACCCCTAAGTATATTTAGAGAACATTGGTAAAACATGCTATGGAGAAGCTGACATTCTCACAATTTTTTGTGGGTCTGGAGGAGGAAGAAGCAACAGTATAAAATGAAAAATCTCTTAATGTAATATATTCAAGATAGTGAATCCTGCTACTTCTGGAATTCACTGTGTTCTTAATTCAGTTACCACACTGAAGGGTTATATAGCTATTTGCTAGTTGCAGGAAAGGAGTCTGCATGAGAATCTAATGGTAGCATTCAATCATTTATGTGTGTTGAGGATAACTTTACAGCTTTATCAGACAATTTGCTTTGATTCCACCAGCATTTCTCTTAATGCTTTAACAAGCGCTAAATTTTGTTTTAACCACAGCCAAATTTCTAACAGTCATATGCCTTGCCAGATAATTAAGAGAAATAACTCTGCATGTAGCTATTTTGTTTGCATAGACATAAAGGGGGGGATTGGTGTGAATATGACAAGTACATAATATGATTAGTATTATTACATGTATTCAAGTGGAGATTTGTTTTCATCCATTCTAGACTAAAAAAAAACAGTCCTTTAGCACTTAAACATATATCAAAAATATTTCTCATAAACACTTATGCATTCAAATTTTGTATTCCTCTACATGGGAATCCTTTAGAAACTGTCAGACAGTTTGTTATTTAATTACAATATTAACATTTAATATTGAAAAGTTCCTTAACATCTCATGTTGATAAAGTGACAGTGGTTTTAAGAATAAAACCAGGATAAATTCACTTGTAATAAGTCGTGTGAAGTCCTATAAACCTGAAAAAACCTTTTTCATGTTACGGTAAAACCTAGTAATGGGAACCAAGTAGTGAGACATACCTTGATTATCATTTACCATAACTGTCATTTATCTATATAAATATAAATTGATCTTTATATTTGTAGATTATCAGATGAACATAAAAAGCAAAGAAAAATAAACAGTAGTCAATCCTTTAAAAAAGAGTCCAGACCAGGAAACCAAAACCAAGAATACTAATATATCTTTATTGTATGGTCATAGTAATAGAATCTTGCAGGTCTGAAAGTTTCTCCCCTCCGCTGCCTTTATTGTCCAGAAAACTAGAGAAGGTCAATTCTGAGATGCTTTCATCCCCAGATCTATGTTGGCCTCAGTTTTGTCATATCAGACCACTGTCTAGCTTCCTCCTTCATCTTAAGGTTATTCTCACAGCCCATTACATCTCTTATAACAGAAAAGTTATAAAGAAAGAGAAAATGAAACAAAAAATAGTAAAAAATGAACTATACAAGACACATTTAGGAAAGCATAAAAGTATAAAATGTTTACATAAGCATTTCAATTAATGTTAGATGTATTTCATATTTTATTACAATTATCCAAAATGAATCTATATTGATAACTAATTCATTTCTATCTTGGCAATAGTATCAACCCAGAAGTCCATAAAGAAGCAGGGATCTTATATTTTATTTATTTTTATTTTATTTTATTTATTTATTTTTGTCAATTGCTTACAAGATAATAGTTATAGGTAAAAAAGATAGTTATGAATACATGGATACATATAAGAAAAATAAAAAGAATAAAAGAAACAATAGGACAGGGACGGTAGGCACATTGGTGCTCTTATGCACGCCCCCTACAGACCTCTTAGGAAAGGGGTGAGGTCAATAGTAGACAGTCTAAGGTTAAAGTTTTTGGGGTTTGGGGAAGAAACCACAGAGTCAGGTAAAGTATTCCAGACATTGACCACTCTGTTGCTGAAGTCATATTTCCTGCAATCAAGTTTGGTGCGGTTTACCTTGAGTTTGTATCTATTGTTTGCTCTTGTGTTGTTATGGTTGAAGCTGAAGTATTCATTGACAGGTAGGACATTGCAATGTATGATTTTATATAGTATACTTAGATCGGACCGAAGGCGGCATAGTTCTAGGTTTTCTAGGTCTAGAATTTCAAGTCTGGTGACATAAGGTATTCTGCAACGAGTAGAGAAGTGGAGAACTCTTCTTGTGAAATATTTCTGGACTTTCTCAACTGTGTTAATATCAGATACATAATGTGGGTTCCAGACTGATGAGCTGTATTCAAGTATTGGTCTAGCAAATGTTTTGTATGCTCTAGTTATTAGTGTAATATTACCAGAGAAAAAGCTACATAAGATTAAGTTAACAACTCTTAACGCCTTTTTGGCTATGTAGTTACAGTGGGCTCTAGCACTTAGATCATTAGAGATGAGTACTCCAAGGTCCTTTACAGAGTTTGGATCATCAACAAGGTCTTGACTATTCAGCCTGTATTTTATTTTCTGATATTTTTTTTTGCCAATATGTAGGACAGAGCATTTATTTGTTGAGATTTGAAGTTGCCATTTGTTTGACCATTCTGATACATAGTCGAGGTCTTTTTGAAAGGTAGCAGTAGTGTCTGTGGTGTTGAATAACTTTACATCATCAGCAAAGAGAACGCAGTTGCTCTTAATATGGTCACAGAGGTCATTTATGTAGAGTATGAAAAGAGTTGGTCCTAGAACGCTGCCTTGGGGGACACCACTGTTGACAGGTACAGAATTTGATAGGACACTCCCAATTTTGACCATTTGTTGTCTGTTTGACAGGAATGCTTCTATCCAGTTATGCAAGTGTCCAGAGATACCGTAAGATTTTAGTTTTAGGAGTAGTTTGTTGTGTACCAATGAATCAAAGGCTTTACAGAAGTCTATGTAGATTGCGTCTATTGCTTTGCCCTGATTGAGTTGTGTAGTCCATATGTTTTTGCAGTGTAAGAGTTGCAGATTACAGGATAGTTTTTTCCTGAAAGCAAATTGTTTATTAGAGAGTAGGTTGTTTGTTTCTAAGTGGAGGATGATGGATTGGTTAATAATTGATTCCATGACTTTACAGGTGATGCAGCATAAAGAGATTGGTCTGTAATTTTCAACTAGGCTGGGGTCTCCCTTTTTGAAGATGGGATGACTGTGGCTTGTGACCATAGTTTTGATAAGAAGCTGGTCCTGAAAGATTTTTCAAAGATTATGCTGAGTGGTTCGGCTATGGCAGTGGATAGCTTTTTTAAGAAGTAGGCACATATTCCATCCGGTCCAATAGATAGAGATGGTTTTAGATTGCGTAGTGCTTTTTCAACATTGTCTTCTGTAAAATCAATATGTATTAGATCATTGTAGTTGTCTGTGGTTCAACTAGGAAATACTGGGCATGATCCATTGCTGTTTACAAATACTGAGCCAAAGAATGTGTTAAAGAGGTTGGCTTTAATAGTGTCGTTGTTGCAGTCTTTACCATTAGGTCCTTTCAGGGGTGGGATGGACCTTCTTTTAGTTTGTTGTTTACAAAATTGTAGAAAGCGCAGGTGGAATTGGTGTGTAGAAGGTTTTCCTCTTGTTTAACGTGATAATTAGTGCATTCAGTCTTTACTGGTGGCATAAATTTTTGTATCGGCTTTTGAAGTTGGCAACGTGACCAGATTCGTTTTTCCGCCAAAGTGATTTCTTTTTGGATTGAAGCTTCCTTATTGTTATGGGTAATTTGTTTTTTCTGGTTTTGGGAGTTGTTATTGGTACATATAATTTGATGACTCTTTTAACTTCAAGTAAAAATATGTTGTAATGGTCTTCTACAGTATTGCATCCAGTGAATAGAAATTGCCAATCAAGGGATGAGAGATCATTGTTTATAAGATCATAGTTGCCTTTTTTGAAGTTATAATTGGGGATTCCGTCATTGTGATGATTTTGGTGTGAACGTATGTTGAGACAAAAGTCAATCATGTTGTGGTTACTGTTGGAAAAGGGTTCTTTAATTTGTATTCCATAAATTGAATTCAAACTATTGCAGAAGATGAGATCGAGGCAGTTGTTAAGTCTAGTGTTGTTGGTTACTATTTCCGAAATTGTAGAATACTGCAGGATTTTTTTTAACTTTCTTTGTCCAAATGTCAGTTTCCATGCAATAGGAATCTAGTTTCTATTTAAAAAAATGAACATGTGATGACACTAGACTTCTTGTTACTACACGTAATGATTTTTTCCCAAAGCAAAACAATTATAAAATACTGTACAAACATATGTTTGAATGAAGCATTAATTGACTGCATCTTTCTTTAACAACATGACAGTTTATTCTGCTTTTTCTAAATAAACACAATGGAGTTCAGTAAGTCTAAAATATTGTTGTTCATATTATTATTAAATAAAATGTAACTTAAGATCTATTGAAATTTCTGGGATTGATCTTAACACCTCTTTCCATTGTCTAGGTAAAGTAATCTCTTATTCTTTATTCCATTTCACTATTACAATTGGATATCAAGATGATCCATGCTAACAGAATTTATATAAAAAATAATTGTAGAGGGGTTTTTGTGTCATTGAATTTAATAATAACCCAGTTGTTTCCAAGACTTAAAATGCTGCCCACCCTAATTGGGATGTCAATAAATGTAATTGTAAATACTGTCTCTGGGATGTTTTAGGGATTTAGTAATTATCCTTTAAAGTAAAAAAAAAAAAACCTATTATTTTAACAGTCATCATTTTCACATAACTGATAAAAAGTCTAAAACCCATCTTCCATACAAGTTTTACATACATATTTTAGAGTAATTTTATTAAAGATTACAATTACAACAGAAAAAAACCATATAAACTAGAAAAGACTAAAAAGAAAAAAATAGG